TAGGATTTCGTCCACTCCTAACTAAAGAGTCCATTGGCCTAGTTTTACAACTATCAATGATTTGCAAAATTTCCACTCCATTATTAATCAGTTCCTTTAATCCCAAAATTAATATCAAATTAATTTCTGATTAATCACCAATTAATGATATGATTTCCAAATAATATATTAATCTTGTAATATATTAATAAAATCATTTGAGTACCAATTTATTATTTCACATAATAAATTCTACTCTCTCTCCACTAGTCATCCTGTCAAGTTGCATGAGTGAAGGCAACCCAAAAGGACCATGCTACATATCAAATCAAGTACATACCAATTATAGTTATAGGTTTAGACACCAAATCCAACAGTCTCCCACTTGGATAAGTCTAATAACTATTATTGCAAGTATGACCTCAAAATTTGACTAACAATCGTAGCTTTCAAAAGCCGCTGTCGAACTCTGATCTAATCAATGATGCGTCCTTTAAATAAGTGATCAAATATCCCACCGTTCTACAAGATATCATATGGACATGAGACATGGATTATAATCAATCTCTATCCAAGAGTTTGTTTCGCAATTTCTGATTTATGACGACTGACTAATTGAACAAATCAAATCAGTCCAGGCTTGGCCAAGCGCTTAGGGTGTCATCACTAAATCATCGAGGGGCCCACATATATCGCTTTTATCCCATTTAGGGTAAAAGGAACGGATAAACTTCGACTCATATGCTTGTACTATTTACTCATCAAATCACACACAATAATATGTTTTTATAACATCAGGTTACTGATGCGTTTACGTATTATCAATGCACAACCAATTCGTAAACAACAACCCATATGTCTCCGTTTCAAGAATATAAGATATTACCGTCTCAAAATTACTCATGATAAAATCCATGAAGTAATACTTGAGCCTGGGTTAATCCAATACTCAAATTCCTATTTCAGGAGTACTCATGAACACCGCAGCAAACATTTGCTATGTCTAAGCACTTAGACAATCTATAGTCGGATTCATGACAGTATTAATTCACTACTTACTTCTAAAACTATGATTGACTATGGATGTTTGAATAACCTAGTTATCCGGGAAGTAAAACATGCAGAGTGAAACGCAAGAACAACCTAATTCAATATGGTCTCAAAACTTTTGAATATAAATAAAACACTTATTATTTAATCACCATATTAATTAGACCTTATTCATTGTATAATGTTTCGAACAATCAAATTAATACTTGAATTAAAACAATAGTCATCCCATGCTCCAAGCATGCACACTATGTTTTTCTGTGGTCATTTCTTTGTGAAATAGATCAATTGAACACATTTTCAATGATGCTCATTTCACAATTTAAATCCTTATCGCAAGTGTAAGAATACCAAATTCTTGCCACTACTAGAAAGTGTTAGATTCTAACCTTACATGCAATGATGCTTTTGTAATGTCTAGGCACCAAAGTCACAGAGACTTAGCCAATGAGATTACAAAATTGCTTAACCGTTGAAACCAAGCACGTGGTGCTTGCTTCATACCATAAAGAGCATTTTTTATTCGAAAAACATGATGGGGAAACCGTTGATCAAGGAAGCCCGGAGGTTGTTCCATAAACACCGTATTAGTAAGGTGTCCATGCAAGAATGCATTTTTGACATCAAGTTTATGTAATGGCAATTTGTGCATCACAACAAGAGATAATACAATGCGAACTATAGATGCTTTAATGACTGGGATGAATGTGTGAGAGTAATCTTGACCTGGAACTTGAGTAAAACCCTTAGCAACCAATCTTACTTTTAGACGTTCCACGGTACCATGAGAGTGAAACTTTGTCCGAAAACCCACTTATATCCTACTACATTAGAAGAAGTAGGACGAGGAACCTGCTCCCAAGTGTCATTTGCTTGTGAAACAGGCATTTCTTCTTCCATAGCGAGAAGCCAGTGGGGGTTTTTAGCAGCTGACTTGAAACCTTTAGGTTCTTTTGTAGTGAACAATGCATGATGAAGTCCCTGATTAGCAAGATGAGACAAATCAACAATATGTTTGCGTTTAAAAATACCAGCCGTAGCTAATGTAATCATATGGTGAGTGGAGGTAACAGGTTGTTGTGTTGATGGTTGACCTGCTGATAAAGGAGTTGTTGGTGGTGAACGTTAAGAAAGTGGAGGATCAACCACAGATGATTGAAGTGATGGAGGAAGTGAGGTGGTGCATCTGTTGTCGGAAGTGCACAAGTTGGGATAGATTGTACAAGAGCGTGGAGTAGGCGCTGATGTAGATGCATCTGACGTCACATGTGACGAGATGATAGAAACAGCAGAATCGATCACAGTTCATAAAAATTGGTGAATACCAAAGTAGCACAATCAGATGTAGAGGTGGTACCAGAAACAGGAAATAACTGTTCATCAAATTGGGCATGTCGAGTTGTGTAGATTTGATTTGTAGAAGGATCAATACATCTATATCCTTTATATTGGGTGCTGTATCCAATAAAAATGCCGGCAATGCTTCTTGGAGCTAGTTTGTGGGCCAAGTAGTGACGTAGATAAGGAAAAACTCGACATCCATAAGCACGAAAAACATCGTAATTAGGAGAGATGCCAAATAAGACTTCAAATGGGCTTTTATTAGTTAATACTTTAGATGGAAGGCGATTGATAATATATGTTGCTGAAGAGAACGCATCCACTGAAAATGAAGCTGGAGCATGAGCAATAAATAACATGGCAAGCCCGGTCTCGGTAATATGGCGGTGTTTTCGTTCAGCCCGACCATGTTGTTGAGGCGTATAATGACAAGAAACCCGATGATGAGAGCCATTAGCTATAAGAATAGTATTCACATGATGATTTAGGAATTCAGTACCATCATCTGACTGAAATGTTTTGACCTTGCAAGCAGGGCCGACCCAAGCCCAGGGTGAGCTGGGCCATAGCCAAGGGCAACAAGTTTATGGGGGCATCAAATTGTTTGCACGTATTATATATGGGTATGTTATATTGGGCCAAAGTCGATGCGGGTCCAATGAAAAAAGAAAGGGAGGCTTGACCTAAGGGCATCACCTCATTAGGCACATGATGAACAAGTAATAGGTTTTGGTAAAATTGAACTAGTAGATAAATATCCAGATTTATTTAACAAATAAATACTATCAAAAGCTACATGTCCTAGTCTAATATGCCAAAGTTCATAAGAAGCTTTGTTGCATTTATTTCTTAAAGTAGCTAAAAGACTCTTCTATCCTCTCTCAAGCACATATAATCCTTGATCAATGCTTCCATTTGCTAGAACTTCTTTGGTTTCCCAATTCTAGATGACAAAGAACTTGTTAGAAAATAGAACATCAATTGGTAAATCATTTGTCAATTTTATGATAGAAAGCAAATTTTTGGTGAGATATGGAAGAACAAGAACGTCTAAAAGTTTGACATCTTTAGTGATAGAAGAAGTTCCAATACGAGAGATGTGTGGTAATTACCATTACCAAATACCACTTGTTCCTTGCCTGAATAGGAAGATGAAGAATCAAGATTTTGTAGTAGATTTGGTCATATGTGAAGAAGCACCAGAATCGACAAAACATTTTGGAGTGTTAACATTGCACTGAGCTTGAAAAACTTGGGCAATGTTAGTATCAACAGGAGAACCGTGAGTAGCATAAGTAACGAGATTAGGACAGGAATTGGCATAATGGTCATTCTTGCAACAAAGTTGACAATGTGGGGGGCGTCTGCCTCGACCACGACCACTTGAGGAACACCCCCTTGAGTTACTTGTCCGTCCTTTAGAAGAAGGATTGGGAGTGCGAGTAGATTGAGTATTAAAGGCAAATGGAGGGGGAGAGTTGTTCATGGAGGCAAGAAAGAGCTCATGACTCTCCGCTTGGCATAACAGATCACGGAAGCAGGGGCGGGGACGTACAACTCTTTGAGCTGTTGAAAACGTCTCAAAACAAGACCCAAGCCCACGTAAGACTTTTTGATCAGCTTCTTTCTAGGTAAGAAATTCAGGATTGGGGGCAGATTTGCCCTCAACTTCAATTGTCGCTGGAGGAGCAACTAGGGTTCCATCGACATGATAAAAAAGTTGTTGGAAAGACAAGAGGGGAAGGACTTGATTTCGCCAAAGCAATTGGTGGAAATTGAGCTTCATTATGAGAAGATGAAGAATAGTAGTGAGAGAAAAGGATGTTTCTGATGAGCTGCCGACCATGGAAAAGAAGAGGGAATTTTAGGGTTGGGATCGTTTATAAGACTGATACCATATAAGAGTTATTGATTTTCCCTAAAATTTTTTAGGTTGTATATTGATGGTATATATAGTACACAAATAGAACAGATCGTAACTAACTAGCCATACAAATAGAGATCTAAAACCTAAATCAAATCTAATCTAATTGTATTGAATTATCTCTAATATCTATTCTCCTTGTAGAAAGAGAGAAGAGAGAGGTATTTGTCCCGACAACAAGTTGACGGTGTGGACTCGGTTTAATAACACATAAAAAAGTTCCTTCCTTCTTGATATTTTAGGTACATTTTGTATCATTTGGTGTATGATCATGGAGGACAATCTGTTCTATTTTGTTCTTGTCTTGTTGTTGAAGAAAACAATTAAAAAAGAGTTTCCATGTAAAAAGCACTGGTGAGTTGAATACGTAACTTGAGAGGTATATTGTAAATTAGCATACATTCAACTTCTTGTAGGTGGATGCATGTACATGGTACAAGGTACAAGGTCCATACAGCTCAAAGGTACTACTTGGGCTTGCACCCATCCTTCTCTTTACCATCAAATCGAAGATTCCTCTGTGTAACCGTTTGTTAATGTTTGTATGCTAATATACTTCTTAATCATAAAGCCTAAATTACATCACCCCATAAAGTTTGACACAAACATTTTGAACGTAGAAAGTCATTGATCAAATCATACTGAATACAAATTAAAACTTCAAAGTAATCCAAAGTGGATTAAAGTTTATTTAGCTATTTATTCAGTTGGAAACGTCTTGATGATATGTTTAAGAACACCAATTATTCTTGTTCAAGCTTCATTATATGGTCACATTTCCGTCAACACAAACCCATTGATCCACGAACATTGAATTACAGTTGATGTTGGGATTAATGGCCAAGAAAGATTGCAGAGTTAACTTAAAGGATTCGCTGATTGAGGTGCAATCGTCTCCGGATTCCACTCCAGTAACTTGGTTACATGAAATGATTGCATTTGTCTCCTTGAGGCCACCTGTTCATGATTCCATTAATCAAAAGTGGAAGATTTTTTCAACCTAAATAAGTCCTTGACTTTGGTGTAAATTGTAAACATAACATCAAAAGAACCTAAGGCGTGTTTAGTTTGTAGAATTCTTTTGAAGGAATAGTTTCTTTCAAAAGAAATAGAATCTTAGAAAATTGGATTCTGCAACCAAACACAATTTGAAAAGTTGGAAATTATGATGACTTACGAACTAGAGTCGATCTGCTTTCTGTGAGTACAACAAGCATTAGGACAAGCGAGACTATCGCAGCCATTTTCACAAACATGGAAGCGTTCTTGGCCATGATTTTGTGTTTGTGGTTTCTTCTGTGCCGTTTGTTTAGTGTGATACATGGTCCGAGGTTCTTGATGTTGACATTTATAGGCAAAGATTTAAGATAAATTTCCAAAATGTATCGTTAGTTTTAAGATGATAGAGATATAAGCCGAATTTCACATTGTTGCAAACGGCATTATTGTTCCATGGGATTCTTTCCATCATAATAACAAAATGAAGAGCTTATGATTTTACAAGACATTTAGAAATAAAATATTGTAATACTCGACATGTTTATGGTTAAATGCGTATATAATTATAGTATGTGATAGCGTTTTACATTTTTTTCCCGTTAATTTATACAACAATATGTTTTTTAGTACAAAATACGTCCTCAAAAACTCATTGTATACACACCACCAATTTTGTAGGATTACGACCATCGATTTTCATCATACACAATCTATTTCATCTTTAATTTGTTGATTTATTACTATCTGATTGACCTTTGTCATTTATGGTTACGGACGACATGATCTTTTTCTGGTTATAACTAGACCTGACAATGGGGCGGGTTTGAAGCGAATCGACCTTGATCCAAACCCGTTTAACACATTTCAAGTTCCGATCCAAACCCGCTCCGTAACCCGTAGGGTTTTGAATAATCAAACCCATACCCTTATTCGTCGAATCAACAGATATCTAAACCCGTCCGGTAACCTGTAAGTTTTTTGAATAATCAAACACATTTTACTTAAACCTCAAAATAACATTTATTAAATAAAACAAATGTTGATTTAAATAACACATTACGAAAGACTTTCGATTGAAATTAAAATTATTTTCGTAGTAACTTCTGATTGGTTTTTGACCGTCGATTGCATTGATAGAGAATAACAATTGCAAACTTTCTTCCGATTGATAAATGACTGTTTGGTTGATGAAATATAAACGAAATGACATCTTGTTTTTGCTAGAATATTGAAATTCTAGAAGTCGAGTCCTCGATTTCTACGTAAAAATAGTTTAGTCTTTGGTCTTTTCTCGTTGGACTTTCGATTAAAATTAAAAGTAAACTTTAGGTTGTATGAAATATAAATTTATAATTCTAAAATTTATACGGGGCGGGTTATAAACGGAGTAGATCAGTGATGATCCATACCCGACCCTTTTAATAAAAGGGTTAGCGGGTACGGGTTGTTAACGGGTAAACGGATCCAAAACTATGCTCCAAACCCATATAATTATTAAGGGTTTGGATCGGATCATGGTCAAAACCCGCTCCATTGTCAGGCCTAGTTATAACAAATTTCATATGAGTTACATCACGTGTTTGTGCACAAGCCTCTCACCTACACATTTCGTTAGTTAAACTGTTAGCGAATCTTGATCTTAGCAACCTAGAATTTTTTTGAAATTGATGATATTTTAAGAAATAGGTGAAACAATCATGGCGGACGAATCTACGATCGTGGAGGTCGTGGTAGTGCCGCCTCGGATCCACTGCAAACCGTGGCTAATTCATCCCGATGGTATCCTCTGAATCCAGCCTAACCAACCCAATCTTATACCCTTATGGGTCTATGACCAATCCCATGGGCCTGCTGCCCATCACGGTCTCGTGGCAAATGTCCAACATCTTAGAATGTTCCAGATTTTTTTTCCGGATCGGTTTGGGTCGATCTTTTTCGTTTCAATCTCGCGATTTTTGTATGTGTCTTTTTCGGTTCATTGTCTGTATTTTCGAAATTTTACGTTAACAAATGTGTGATTAATATCAAAATGATACATCAAGATTAAATAAAAATGATACACTAAAAATTAATAAAAGAATGATGGAAAGAAGTTGGGTAATGTGATTAAAAAATATGTAATTAACATAAAAATTATATGTATATAAACTTTCGCTTCTAGTCTATTTTAAGACCGGTCTTGGAGCGGTTTTGTGTTGGTCTTGAACCGGCCTCACGTAGGTTTCAGAACAGTCCAACCTTTTTGGGACATTTTTGCGTCAGTTTTGGAACGGTATAGTCTTTTTAGATAGATCTTAGCTTGGTCTTTTTGGTACTGTTGTCGTTCTTTTCCGGACCGGTCTCGCGAACTTTGCGTGCATCTTTTTTGGTTCGATTTTAGGGTTTTTTGGTTCAGTTTCAGTACTTTTTGGATTTTTGGTATTCAGTTTCTAAGTTTTTCCATTAACAAATGTGTGATTGAGACCAAAATGATACCTTATAGTTAAATAAAAATGATACATAAAATTTAATAAAAGAACAAAGGAAAGAAGTTGGGTAATGCGATTAAAAGATATGTAATTAACATATTATATGTATATAAACTTTAGCTTTCGGTCTTTTTTTGAGACCGATCGCCGAACGATCTCATGTTGGTGTTGAATTGGTCTCGCATCGATTTTGGAATAGACCGATCCTTTTTGGGATCAGGCTCGGAACGGTCGGTTTTGAAACGTCCCAAAATATAGAATAAAATTTTCATTTTAAAATAAGATAAAACTATTCATTTCCATTCCATTGAAAGATAATCAAAGTATATAAAATGTAGTCTCAACAAACATTAGAGTAAAACATAAACAGGGAGTGCAGAATCAGTAGTGGATGCGATGCAATCAGGTCAGGAACTTCCCTTTGCCACCAGAAGTACCTTAAACATTTAAACCTAAAACCGTAAGCAGAAAGCTTAGTGAATTCCCCCAGGATACCACATAACGGTCCTCGCCCAACAATCATATAAATAGGCCTCGCCCAACATAACATATAAACGGGCCTCACACACAAGTCTCACCCAATGAACATAATAGCGGGCCTCACCCAACATACATACAACCAACCATGCAAGAGTCATAAAGATAACAAAAAACTAGTATCCTACATAGTATATTGAGAAGACTTACCTCACATATCAAGAAGTAACCACCACAGCTCCCAACGAATGTAAAGGCTGGTACTACAAATCACCTAAACATGAAATAAAAGGTCAAACCTCAGTCTATGACCCTAGACCCTAAAGTTTGACCTAAATTAAACTGGTCAAAAGTCAACGGTTGACCCACCGCACCGTGGCTAACCTCATAGCCGCTCTGTGGTAAGTAGATGAGAAACAGACGCGACCAAACCTCGACGCTGCGCCATGACCACCCTTCATCGTACCGTGGTGAGCGTCCAAAAACAACTTAATGGATTAAACACTTAACCGCTAATCTCTAGAGCTCAAAAGCTCAGATCTGATAGCTCCAAAGGTCTTAATGGATAAAGTTTCTAATTTTATCCATTCCCATGACTCAAACTCACCCAAAACACAAGTATGGCCCCAAAAGGAAGCATGAAAACACATCTTTCTCATAATACTCCATTCCAGAAGTCATAAATATTACTTATAAGGTTCTGGAGTTGCTCAACATCTAGAACAATAAGGAAGGGACTAAAAACACACAAATAAGGTCAAAACATAGATTAAAATAAAACAAAGGCGAAGGTTGAAGCTTTATACCTCAGATGACTCTGAAATCTGAAGTAGATGATGGATCTAGGCCAACTCTTTGCTTCCTTGCACCAAGAAGGAGTCCTTTCTTCACTCTACTTCAAAAAACTAAGGCGAAAAAGCTTATAAGACAATAACTGAACTATGGTTTGAGAGAGGGTAAGTTCTATATGGATGGGGGCTTCCAAAATGAGGCAACTTGTGACATCCCTATTGTTCATGGTTAGAAAAAGACCTTTTTATTTATGTTTATTTTAAAACAGAATTTATTTATAATTACGAATTTTTTCCCAGAAAAAATATTTTCGAAGAAATGTTTTTCATTGATTATTAAAAGCTTGGGATCTCATAATTGATACAAGAAACATAAGCATAAACATAATCATTACTGGCCTTACAACATCTATGACCTATATTTCCTTGAATCTCTCATTGGATCCAAATATCATTATCTTTGTACTTCTACCTGTGATACAAAGAAATTGAGTGGGTCATGTTGGGAAACCTGGTGAGTACATAGGGTTTTCAACCCATAATATTATAATATTCAATTATATATTTTTCAGCAAACAAATAACTTAGTTACTCATTCATGTTATCCTCACTTTCTAATCCTTAAATAATGATCTCGAGGGATCTTTCCTGAAGGATTTTTATTAGTAGTAGTTGTCATTTATTCATCCTTAAACATCTAGGCACAACAATATAATGGTACTTTGGGCACAACACAACAGTACGATAGTACTTTGGTCACAACATAGCATATCACAACTCATTATTTTGCACACCATTTTACTAACTAGTATTTTTCCTAGATGAGCAGGCACAACAATACAATAGTACTTTAGATAAGCACAACTGGCCACAACTTGTTATTTCACACAACCCTTTACTAACTTATCGCATCCTCTCATTTATTATTTTACTCAACCCTTTACTAATCTATCACAGCCTCTCATCTATTATTTCACACAACCCTTCACTACCCAATCATATTTTAAGTATGATAAAATATATGTAGTTTAATCAAGTAATAACTATATCAGATTGCACATATATATTAAGCACAACTAAACAACACACATAACACTTAAGAAATTAGAATACTTGTATATATGTGTAAGTCGAAAGTAACTATGTACTCTCTTGTTAAAAGTGGATGACTAGAAAGTTGGCCAGTGCTTTGCTTCAACACTTATCTTTTCCTTTGATACGAAATAGGTACCAATGTCACTAAGTCTTAGTCTTATATTCATTGTGACTAATGATAATCTAGATTCCTCACTAATCCTAATGTCTACATCAAGATCTATCAAGTAAGGAGAAACCAGGTAAGATCATATCAGAGGTAGGGTCCATTTGGTATACAGAGTATGATGTTTGGAAATCCCACTTTAAACACCTCACTAAATCTAGCTTAGACATCACCCCTATAAATAGAACAATCCATATAATGACTTGTAATCATTAATAAATCTTATTTATAAATTAATAACAGTAACTATGAATATAAATATAAGTTATTACACTGAAAGAAATATAAGTGTAGCTTAACTTACATAGATTTTCC